CAGTGTGACTGAGCTTCATTTAAACCAACCCTTTGCTTTCTTCCATCCAGCCAGTTTGACTGAACTTCATTTATAACAACCCTTTGCTTTCTTCCATCCAGCCAGTTTGACTGAACTTCATTTATAACAACCCTTTGCTTTCTTCCATCCAGCCAGTTTGACTGAACTTCATTTATAACAACCCTTTGCTTTCTTCCATCCAGCCAGTTTTATATCCAAAAAGCCAATCTATTCTTCACACTCTTTCAACAAACCTTTTATGTGGCACCTTTTCAAATGCTTTCTGAAAATCCAGATACATCAAATTCACACCTGTACCCTCATCTACACATGCAGTAACCTCTATGAAAAATGTCAAAAGATTAGTAAGACAAGGTTTTTTTCCCCTAGTGAAACCATGCTGACTATCCAACAAAATTTCAAACTAAAACTTTGTAAATCACCTATTATCAGACTTTCAAAAGCTTTTCCCAATGCTAACCAGGTTAAAATCAAAGTCCAATAAATCACTCCCGATCAAAGAGAAACAAATTTAGCAGACAGGATGGGAGTAGGAGGCTCAGTAAGAATACGGTATTCCTTAACATGCTGAACATTGGCTGTAATAATCCTGACAGTTAACAAGGAAAAATAAGGCCTGAGTATGAACAACATCAGTCACATAGGAATAAGTTGCCATCATTTGAGAATTCAGGATAAAATTTACAGCATTTGAAACAAATGCCACAGAAAACAAAAATAAAAGTTTTGTTAACAATGCAAATCTCAATAAATTTAACTTAAATGAGAAAATTAAACATCTCTGTTTAATACAAATCATTGTCAAAGAATGAAGTTACTGCAAGTGCAAATACATAGGGGGAGTTATTGTGCATGGAGATTGTGTTGATGCTCTGAACAGTGATGAAATTTTTCATCCTATTTATAGCTTACTTAGAAAGCCAGATAAATTTTAATAGTTTTGATAAACATTGTTCTAATATCTGATAAGTTTTTGTGCTCAAAAATGTACAGTCGAAAGCTACATGAAATTTTTTTGGGATACTCAAAAATTTGTGATGGTCAATGTGGTTTAGGGGAGAACGTCAAATATTTCAACAGCTCAAATACAGAGCGAGTACTAGAAATCCCTGTTTCTTATGTGTATTTTTGTACATTTTAAAAAGTAATTAAAACATAAAAATTATAAACTTCTTACCATATTCTAAGAAAACTTAAATAAAATAAATTGGTTAAATTTCACTAGCTGAAACACCAGTGTGAAATATCACACTAAATCACGGTTGGGTGTGAAATATCACACTAGATCATTTGCAGATTACATTAGTCCTACGGAAAACAACTAATGGATTTCTAATGTAACTTCATTGTTTTTTACTCAAGAATTACTGCTCCAGTACAAAGTACAGCAGGAAAACCATAAAATTAAAAGAAAACAGATGTGAAAAAGGTTGAGAGCTGAAACTGTCAGGATAAATAATTTGGAATTTACTGATCAATACTGAAATCAGTACAGTTGAAAAAATGGTATTATTCATTTCACAGTACATTGACCATTTCTCTATAGTTAGTGTTACTGTAGAGAAAGTAAAATATAAAATGTACTATTACAACAAAAAACTTTTGATATTCATTTAGAAAGTTCTTGAGGTCATGCAGACGAAATATGAAAACTGTACGATGAAAAGAAGCTGTTATTCTTAGCAAGAAAATCATCTTTCATTCAGACTGACTCAGTAAATTCACATACAAATCTTTGGTAAAAATACTTTATTAAAGCTTGCAAGATTTCATGAAGATATACTTTGTACATTGAGAGTTATAGTATGTATAGTTTCATGGTTACAAGGTCAGTCAAAATGACCAAGCCCGCATACAGAGAGTTAATACCTCACATCAGGAGGAATGAAATATGTTTATTCAAGGTATGATTTTACTGAAAAACATTGTGTCAAAAGTATTACAGGTTTATTATTTATTCTCACAATTTATTTTTCAGGTTTAGGACAGTTGACCATAAATAAGCCTAACTTCTTAACAGCATGGTCACTGTGATAATTTTGTGTCCAATGTAAGTTGAAAATCCTGATATGTAACAATAGTCTTTATGACAGGACTTTCTGCTAGGAACATAACCAAATAAACCTAACATAATCCATATAATGTATGTTTTATCAATTTTATTCTACAGCGATTGTATATAATTGGCCATACCTAATTTAGGATTTTCTACTACTATATGGTTAATGATGATAGTTCTGAAATGTTTCTACCCACCTGATAAAACTTCTAACTCACAGTTAATTTGTTGTAATTCTTCTTCTGGTTCATTTTCTTTTTTCAAATTCATAACACCAAGATTTAGACAATGAAGGGCTTCATCATCGTTTCTGCTGAACATCGAAATAATATCATCCTGTGGTGGGTCACAAGGTTGCTCTGTTTTCACTCTAACAATTGGGTTCTAAAATAAAACAGTTAAGAGATTGATAACAGACAACAAATAGTGATACCAAAATATACTTACGTTCTCAATCCTACCCTTAAATTGCTTAATTAAGATTAATTTCATACGATTTTCACCATCAACAACCACTTTGATTGGAAGAAAATCGATGTAGCCTTAACTCTCCACTTTACACATGCAGGTACAGAAATGAACTATAAACCATGACATATAGGTAGATCCTGACTTAAACTAGAAAGATTTTCTGATCAATTTCTCTGGATGGAAATAAAAGGAGTTAAATAATTAATTTTACTGAAGAAGTCTTAATATGATAATAGTACATGTAATGCCAGATGAAGGTGTGCTTGTCAATTGTGTGCCTAATCACAAAAAACATCTGACTTAACACAGGCAAATCAAACCACTAGAAAACAGTATATGCCAGATCAGTAGCATGAAGCTAAAATTTGAAAGCCCGAGAGTATGCATAATACAATAATATAGACCAAAAGAAGAAGAATCCCAAAGATACTCAATGCTGTCAAAATGCCCTGGGGGCTGGGGTTTCCCCCAAGTAATGTATGCACTTGGACCTGGCTACTTTTTGCAAAGCAACCACAGGTTTATACAATTAATAATTTCATCACTAATTTGCAGTTATATACAATTCAATGTACTTGTTGTGACAAATTTGCAATATTATTGTTTTTTTCAGGTTTTATTTTTAACACACTGTCATTTGGTGAACAGTCAGGATATTGATCAATTTTATTTACCCCCTCTAGCGTTACAATTATTCTTGATAGTGGAATGAGTTTTAAAGTGACCTTACAGACTTTTGGTGATTTTCTGAGATATCTGAAGTAAATTATCAAAATACCAATCATTACTTGTGAAGAAACAGAAAATATTAGATTTTCAATTCGGAAACTGGCCATCAACATTTAATCTGTAATTGAACAAATGTGAAATTATGAAGAGAACTTCAGATTATTTCTTACCTAAATGTTCTAATACAAAGATAACAAAATGTGGTAAGTCCCTGTAAAATAATGAAAAAAAGATGATTCCCATAAAAACTGTATATCTAGGTCCCCTCTGAATTTCAAGAAATGCAAATTCTCCTTGTCCAACAGCAGAAAAAAGTATGTGTGTGTTTACAGACCCTGATCTAATTGTTTTGTTTTAAATAAAATATTCATAAGATTCTGTTCTGCATAGGTAAGTAATAATTCATTAGGATAAAAAAAAATTGAGCCAAGCTTGCCCTGTTGTTACAATTCTCTGTTTTGTCCAACTATTGAGAGGGCCTTCTTCAAGAGAATAGTGTAATTGGTTCACACTAATATGAAATGGACACTATGCTCAAATTTTACACTGATAATTTAAACATACAAAATAGTTTTTCAAGTGATAATTTTGTTATAATTTATTTTCTTGCAAAGTATGTGAAATATAGAAAAGAACCACATGTATTCATTTTGAAACAAGTTTTTTAACTTTAATTTTACTCTAACGACAAGATTTAGCTGTCCAGAAAATGCATTCAGTTTAAATCAGGGAGCTTTGAATCCTGAACCACCTGAAAGAGAGTGCTGCCTTCTTGTCTAATGTGGGGGAAGAATCCCATCTGATTTCAAAACCTAACCTTCAATACCAACGTGAATACCAATATTTTACACTCTTTTAAGTCACAGGCAAGGTTAACCATAACCTCATGTCGAGCTTCTTTTAAAAAGGTATCACTTAATATTAAAACCTTATTCATGATAATAACAACACAGCATATAGATTAAAAACTAGGTTCAACCAGGGCTGGATATAGGTTTAGTGGGGCTTTAGGCCCAGGTAATATTTGGGAATAATAATAACAATAACTCACTCTTGCCTCTATTCTGCTAGTTTTAGAACCATAGTTGTTTTACTTGGGTCCCTAGGTGGCCTACACATTAATCCAGTACTAGGTTCAACACTTATGGTTTAAATGCCAAAAGATGTTGAAGCATTCAAAACCATTAGTCCTAGCTTTTGTGATGATGATAATTATGTAAAATGAAGACGTTTTTTTCACATTCCTCTGTAGCTTCCATAGTTTTTTTGTCACAAAAAATAAACTCTAGGTCCAATTACATAATGATCTATCATGAATAACGGGTTTAAACAAAGTATATAAAGCAATTTCAAAACTACTTGCTGTGTCCAATATCTAAACTGTTGAACATGGACAAAATATTAATCATAAAAACATGACAAGACCAGAAAATGAAGGATAGCAGGCTGGAATCACTTCTCTACTGGTTCTATTCTGGGATCTAGTAAAAATTATTAAAGAAGTATTCATACTTTATTTTTCCATCATGAGTTTTATGTTTAATCCTGAGCCTATCAAATCCCAATCACAAGATTGAAATGGGTGAGACACTATGCCACTTCAAAACAGGTTAAAATATGTCAAAAAATATAATGGTGTCCTTAGTCGACAGTTATGGTAAAGAGGGATAACAAAGAAAAACTACGATGCAAATGATCGTGCTGCAACTGTCCATGAATAGGAGTGTGATACTACTCCTATCGTAACTAGTGTCCTCTCTAATCATGCACATGTGAATCACTTCGAGATTGGTCATAAATAACCGAACCAATTCACACCAGAAGTGGGGAGGATGGGTAGGGAATGAGAGAAGAGGTAAATTATTTATAGGAATTACATTTTCAGTTTAGGAAAATGTTAACTTCCGATATGATATCTTACCTCCTCTCACAAAAAGCTAGAATCTCACCTTGAACCGGTGAGAAGATGATCTCTCTTTAGGAAGTGCCCAAAGGAAGACCATGGGGTGTGAGAATGAATTAAAAACAACACACCAGTGGGAGACCGCACCACTTCCGAGCCAGGTATACTTTTCACCCTTTAGTAATGTGTTGCCAAAATGTAAATGGCAGGAACTTGGATGGGTCCTAAAAAAATACAGAAATAATGGTACCCCTGGTGTAGAATGGCTGGGGCATGATAGACTGTAAATAAGAGTTCAACCTCAAACAACACCTGGCAGTATCTGAAATTATACACCAGGTCCACGGTTGGAAGAGCCTCCTCTACCTTTCATCTCAAAAACGAATACTGGCAGGGAAGTGGAATTCTTGTACCAAGAACCCGTCTCTGCACGTGTACACAACCAACACCAGATCCACCGAGAACCAACAATCGGCAGATGGTAGGAAGGAGGAGAGTCCAGGTGGGTGTTCATCTATGGTCCAAAACCTGGCAGTATTGGGAATTTAGTTGTCCAGTCCACAGTAGGAGAGTATCCAACTTTACACAAGTGGAAAGTCATTTGTTTTCTCCAGCTACAACCAACATCAGATCCACTTAAAACCAGCATACTGCATTATTTTGTTGTTTTTCGTTTATATAGGTGTGTACATATACATATATATCTGGCAGAGTGCCATACCCAACACCTAGCAGTGTCGTGAATTGTACTTCAGGTCTGTGGTAGGAAGGACATCCCACCATTGACACCTGCAGAATTCCACTACTCAACTCTCAAAATAAGTGGTATTCTGCACTCTCAGAAGAACAGGCCTCTATGGTCCACCACCCCAGCAGCTAGGAACTGGTAAGTGGTAAGGACTCCCATACACCACTACAAAGAGGAGGGAAATAATGCATTTGAGAGTCTGGAGGACCACAGCACCAGAGACAGTGCAATGGGTGATCGGATACCCTATTTTGAAAAACAGAGTGATCACATTGACGGAATGCATCATCCAACACCTGGCAGCATATGGAATTGTACATAAGGTCTACGGCAGGACAAGCATCAAATGCAACGGATTATCAGAGATGTGCAGCAATCTCTGTCTGTTTTACTCGTGTTAGTATACGAGTGTATGGTCCAGGACAAACATATTTAAGAAGCAAAAGATTGCAAGGTACACCTATGAGAAGTCCAGCGGAACATCCCATCTCAACGATGGGCGTAAAATGACCTTGTGAAGTGTTACTTTGTATTTTTCTACATTTTATATCATTTCATAGATGGAGTCAATAAACCATCACTTGTCAGATTCTGGAATGGTACATCAGGTCCACAGTAAGAAGAGTCTCAACATCACAGTCATCTAGCATACTTACAAGCCATACAGTGTTAATTTAAGGCTAAGTATACCTGGTCAGGCAACAATTGCCACATATTTGGATCCAAATATGCGATAATGGCCCCTGGAAAGACAAATGAATGGAGTACTTACCACCCCAGATAAACAGTTACAGCACTGACGATGTCCTCCAAGGGAAGATGTAAATGTGCAGCCAGAGACATAGGAAAAAACATGAAAAGGGAACAATCATCAGAAGAATGGGAAGAAAATGTCAGGCAAATGAACTGGTGAGTTCAACCCAGATGGGTGATGGGAAAAGGTCATGGGAGAGGATTCCATGGAAGAAACGAACGGACTTGAAAACTACGGAAGGGAGCAGTATGTGTCATATACTCTCTGAAAGCCATGACCTGACAAAGGAGGTGGTGGGATAAGAACATTCTAAAAGGCAGGGATGGAACATAGGAAATGGGAGCTAAGTACAGAACATAATATGCCTGAATGGGGGAGGCTGTCCAAATAAAAACTAAAAGATGACTAAAAATCATCAGTATGTTTTTATTGTAGCATGAAAGTGGTCAACTCCCTACAGACCAGAGCTATCACTTCATGGGCCGAGAATTATGGTGTCGACCCGTTAGTCATGGTTGGGAATTCTGTTGCCACAGTAATATTCATGACCACCCAAAATTAAACAAGGAGAGAAGATAAAATAAAATATATGGTAATAAAATTCACGAACGTAAAAACATGTGAATAGGTTAATTAAACAACGAGCAAAAAACACGTCTAACCAGTAGGACTGTCAATCAAGAATTGATTAAAATGTGCAAGATTAGAGAGGGTGCTAGTTATGATAGGGGTAGCGTCACACTCCTATTGGTGGAGGGTTGCTGCATGATCATTTGCACATTAGTATGCAGTAATGAGTGGGAGTAACAAGTCTAGTGGTGAGTAAAAATGTATGCCAATAGAGGGCAGCAAAAGTCTATAAAGCTTTTTGTGAGTGGATGTAAAATATCGTATCAGAATTGACCTTCTTGTTATGACTTCAAATACTTTCGACAGTAATAAAACAAATTAAATAACGTCCACTGACCTTTTATTAGAACTACAGCACTGTCTAAATGTTTTATCAAACGTTTCTAGCTATTTCATTACAATAAAAATTATTTCTTAAACATTTTTAATTTCCAAGTTACCTCAGTTTTCGGTATTTTATCATAATTCTTTTCTTGTTTTTCTTCTGCAGCTTTAAAATCAGTGATGGAAAGTGAAGACTCTTCTTTTGAGGAAGCGGCTTCTTCTGTTGCTATAGATACAGATTACGTTTTTTTTTAAAACAAGTATGACTTGCACATCACTACATTATAACAAGCCCTTACCAACATTTTTTATACTCTAAAACAGTTTAGTCTTTTCCTTTAACCTTTGTGCTAAAGATAGAAAGTGACTAATTCTTCCTCCAAGTGTAGCTTCTGATGAACAATATATCCATGATTATCTGAATAATATTACTTACAACATCTATAATAATTCCTAAAACAACTATAATACATTTTGTCTTGAAATTAATTCCTGATACAAGTTTGTTTCTAATAAAAGTTTCACAAACTAGGAAGTTGAGACACAACTTGCTGCAGAAATAATTTAAACAACCACAAACTTCCTGGAATTGTATGCTTCTACCAACTCTGTAGACAATACTAGGAGTTGCTGGAGTAAATATTAGAGCTGGGCAATTAGTAGAATTTGCTAATCAATTTATCGTCAAACTCATTAAGCAATTACATTCAACTAATTAATTATTCTCACATGAGACTTGAATAGCTGGAATAACTGAAAATAGTCTTAAGAGCAAACAGTAATTTTGATTAGTTGATTTTACCAGACACTAATGGACATGATCAGTGCTCTTCAATTATATCAATTAATCAAGTTAAATGCTCTACTCTACAAAATATGTTAGGATTATTACCAGCAAAAGAGTGATAATTGTATGTACTCGAAAGAAAACAGCATTGCTGTGAGTGCTAAATTATCAAACTGAAGCAGGTTTAAATAAAAGAAATTTAAACTCATTTACATGTAGGAAGTATCAGGATGGAGAGGATTACCACACACTTCTCTTAGTCATTCAAAGATATCAATGGAAGCAGTACAACAAGAAGGAATATTTCCTACATTTAAAGAAACATACTTTAGAACACCTTTAGAAATATATATATGAACTATGGCCAATACTTTACATACTGGAAAACTGATGAAGACTTTCGATGAGAAAATAAGGAGCTTTAGCATGCTAATTAGAAGAACTGTGTTAAAACCCACATGGAACAATGTCTATGTATGAAGCATAGCTGGAAATATTTATTCATACTTTAGAGCAGCATTTCTCAAACTTAGGTCTGCAAGAGTAGGGTTGGATCTAGAGTTTGCATGGCTCTAGGCAAATGTGGTATGTGGGGCACCCTTGGCTGCTTATATTCTGGCCATAGAAGTTGCTAGGCACTATATCTTGGGATACTGAATGTAGCTATATGTGACTAGAATTTGAAGAAAAAATTTATAATCACTCTGATTCTTCAAAATTTAATTTCAAAAATAATTTATGCAACTCATATATTGATACTTGAAATAGTTGTGGAATGAAAATGATACCTTTGCACATGTCAGGTTTTACAGGGCCACAATTCTTTACAGTAGGTGTCTGTGACTTGTTGGCAATAAATTTCAATAATAAACGAACAGCACACAATCCACTTGTTTTAAAATAATGTATTCTAAACAAGTCAAACATCTGTACAAAAATTCATTACACTAATGGTTATCACAGTTGTATCCAGAGCTTTAAATAATTCTCTTTTTTGCCAAAAGTCCACACAGGCTAGTTCTGTTACTTTAGAACCCAATTGACAAGACAAATTATTCTTTCCTAACCTGTGATCACAATACAATCAGTGATAAATTCACTTATGTTACCTTGTGGCTTTCCACAGTTGCATCCAGAGCATTAAATCATTGTCTCATTTTTTTTGTCAAAGTCAACACAGGCAGGTTCAATTACTTTAGAACATCCTTTGAGAAGACAAATTATTCTCCTCCATCTCTGTTATTATAATACAAGCTAATTCATAAGCAGTTTAACTTCACTTTTATTAACTATCTTAACTTCTTCTCTATATCTGCAGACAGAAAAATTCTAGTAACAACAATATTACACATGAGAAAACTTAGAAGCTTCAGGTAAGATGACGTAAACAATATTACAAAAGCCTACTACAATAACTACTCTACATACACAACGTACAGAGTTACGTAATGAAATTTGTCATAACTAAATAATCATAAATATTAAATCATTAAATAACAACTCTGAAACTGAACAGTCTTGTATATCCAACAAAAGATATATAAACAAATCTTTAAATTCAACTCGTATAAAATGTATTTACACTTCTCACATTATTTTATAACAATACTTTTTTACTTTTCTGTGTACTAAATTTTTCAATCAAATCAGAAAAATTTGGTTTGATACATCATTTTTTGTTGATAACATTGCCAGTGATGCTGATCTTTCTTAAAACATGGTAGAATAAAGGTAAGTTTGATAAGCTTAGGACAAGAAAAACTTCTTTCCGCTAAAGCAAAAGTAACTAGAATAGTCAGGACTATGAGTAGTGCTACATCTACATGTGGGTAGATCTCATACAAGTCATTTTCTATGATAATTTATGTTGGTATTAGGTAGTATAATCCTGCAAAACACCAAGTTCTTCGTATATCTCTAATTCATTGATGTCGCATTAACCCTCAAAGCTGAGTTTAATCGTAAGATTTTGGCAACGTTGCGTTAGCACTTGATCTATATTAGCATGAAGTTTCGATATATTGTATAAAAACCCAAAAATTTCTACATATTTTTAAAGAGCCTCAAATTGGTTTTAGTATGCACATAAATTATATCAATGATAGCGTTAAAGTAATGAACCCTGAATGCTTCTTTAGAATCATTAGTACATACATCCTTACTTTTATAACTAAACATTTTTTTTATTTTCTGTCACCCTTTTTAAATTCTTTTCAATATCTAAACTTTCTGCCAGATTGTTGGCAGTTGAAAATGCCGACTCATAGCCCATTGATCTATATTTACCAATTCATTTTATGTGCTTTAGAGTGCTGTTCAAATGCATGTTATTACTTTTCCATAAGTTACGGATAGTATTTACATTTATTAAAAGATCATACCATATAATAAAAGATACTATAAAAGATATGACAATCTCATTAATGAGAGAATTGCATTCACTACGAAGGTTGTTTGTTTTTGAATTTTGCGCAAAGCTACATGAGAGCTATTTGCGCTAGCCATCCCTAATTTAACAGTGTAAGACTAGAGGGAAGGCAGCTAGTCATCACCACCCACCGCCAACTCTTGGGCTACTCTTTTACCAACAAATTGTGGGATTGGCTGTCACATTATAATGCCCCCACGGCTGAAAGGGCGAGCATGTTTGGTGGGATGGAGATTCGAACCCTCGACTCTCAGATTGCAAGTCGAGTGCCCTAATCACCTGGCCATGCCGGACCCACTACGAAGTATGCCAATAGTTCCAGTAAAGCATCATAGATCTCCATGTTGAAATCAAACAACTTTTACATTATCTATACAGCACTGAAAGTAGTTTTAGGATAACATTTACATTTTCTGTTATACATGCCATCTGTTTGAATATGCTGAAAATAAAAGTATAAAGTCTTTGAAGTAAACCAAAAAATATTTCAGTCCTCATAAAAGATTAAACAGCATTTCCTAAGGATAAATTCCAACTCCAGGGACAGAGGAAAGCTCGTGGATTAGTTTGAAGAATTTTTACACCATTCTTTTCACCATGTATCATTATTATAGCTTTATTCACAACAATCTTATGGCCATTACTTATGGAATGAAAAATTCAATTTTGCTTACTGTTATGGAAAATATTTTTTTAAATTTTGGTTGAATAGTTCCTTAAGCCTTCCAAATAGTGTGTTGTTGCTAGAGATAAGACAAATAAGATTATGAGTTGTACTTGCAGAAATGTTGAATATAAGTCTTAAGATGTCATTTTTCTTTATATACGTTACTGGTTAGGCTTCATTTTGAGAACTGTAACTTAGCAAGAAGTTGAATTGTTGAAAAGGGTTCAGAGAAGGGCTACTAGAATGATACTTGGGATGGAAAGGTTGTCATACAAGGACAGGTTAAGAGTTATTGAATTGTTTTCTCTTGAAAAACAAAAAGGTAGAGGGGCATAAATATTAGGCCTATTATAGTTTTCAAAACTGCATTCTTTAAGTACCTTAGGGATTTCAAAATTATAAGTGTATAACAATAGTATTCCAACAACACTATTTTGCCATGGTCATTGCTGATGACATTTTGCTCAATCCAGAGCTCATCAGATCGACAGGAACACAACATTTTACCATACAAGATTGTTTTAGTGATAGTTCATAGTAAAGTAAAATATATATCAGATACTGTGAAACTTATAGATACACAGTTTGGAGGTTCTGACTGTTATTGCAAATACAATATGCAAACTGTACAATAACAAAAGTATTTTTATTCTTCACATGAGCATCACCTTACACTCGAACTAATTTGATCCCAAGTCAGACTAATATTTTAAATAGTTTTAGTAAAAATACTTGTAGCACAACTGATTTTTTGTAAAAACAGAACTGAACTTTTTTTTAAAAGCTTGCCATATTTAATGTAGGTACACATACTAAGTTCAGAATTCTATTGAACTGATCACATGCACATTCAGTTAATACTTCCAATCTTTAGTGGGGAAAAATAAAACTAATCAGTAAACAACATATTGTTATTTAGAATTTCTTCTAAGCGACCTTTCTTTACCTTCTTCATTTGTCAGAAGCTTCAATTTCAGCAAAGCATTGTCCTCCTCGGCAGAAAGAGATTCAACTTCCATCCTTAATCCTTCCATGGTTGAACAAGTATTTCATTCTTTACAAATTTTCTTGAATCTTGCAGTTTCACTACCCAGAAACATGAATTGGATCTTGTAAGTTTGGATCTTTCATGACAACATATAATTTCTTAACAACATTTTATTCTTTATCTCTAACTGTTGTAGAGTTTTTGGTCTCATGCTATAATACATTATGAAACAAAGAAACTTATCATTCCCTACATTTCTTTGGTAATTGGTGATAAAGTACCGAGTACCTTAAACACAAGTGCTGATTGGGAAGTACAGTATTATTCTTCTGAAAAGCTATTCCTAAAAATATACACTGGCCCTAAAACATGTCACTATAACTAACAAACTAATAAATTATCTGACGCTGAAGCTGACATTTTTTACTAAAATTATTAACACTTTTAAGGTTTTTTATCTTGATGATTCCAGATGTATGCTTTCCTTAATTTGAATAATGATGCAATAAATCACCTAAATTATAACCCACTGATACACCACACTTTACTTAAGACAAATTACGTCTAGCAAAAAAATATGTTAAACATAAGTTAAAAAATAAAAATTGGAAGTTTTCTATAATATTAACCTATTACTTTCCATTAACCAGTGTAAGAACTTAATAAACAGAATATTTTGTTCAAAACTTTCCATGTCAGCACAACTAACAAACATTATGTAAGAAATATACCAGTTGTGCCATAATCATGAGTGGGTTTACAATATACTTAAGTATAGAAACTTGTTGTATTTCTTTTTACTAAAATATTTTAAAAAAGGTAATTTATTATTTTCTGTTTCCAATAAGAATTTGTTGATTGGATATTTTTTGTTTATATGGCAGGTACTGCATCTGAAGAATGGCCAATAAAGTTGTAATACTCTTGTAACAAGGACTGTGTAAAACAGTCACAGCTTCAATTTCTTTCATTTTTATATTGGAGAAAACAAGAGATATTGAATTATTGATTCTAAATCCATGTGAAAAATTTAACTTCTTATTTTTATCTTAAAGTATATTTCATTTTAACCACTTTGATTTTACTGTTACATTTACACCAGTATCTCTTACATCAGGTACCTAATGCTGTGCTACTAAACACCATCAATAAAGAATCTTTTCATGGAGCAATTATCCATGAAATTAAAAAATAAAAGCATTTTTTTACTATAAATATAATAACACTTCCTGAAGTTCTTATCAGAAATAGAATTAACGAAACGTGTGTTAATTAATAGGCCGTTGCTCTTGCCATCTACAGAAAGGTGGCAATAATACGAATAAAATTAGAGCCACTGACTTACAAGTTACTATATCAACCCACCGGTTGCAGTCACTGCTTGTGCTACAGGAAAACTATTGACAACAACAGTTTAAATTTTAATTTACTACTTATTTAGCTCGCCTGACTAACCCCAATATTTAACGTGTTTCGTCACAAAATGACGACATTGATACTAGTAGCAAGAAAGAATATCAACATATATGCGTTGTGATAGCCTTTTCTTCTTTCCGGAAATTTAAAACTAGTTTAGATCACCTCCAAAACAAAGGACCTTATGAGGAGAATTGTAGCAACTTGCAAACTAGTATGCAGTGGTGGGATTCAGCCGGTTCGCACCGATTCGTGCGAACCTGTTCTTAGAATTTAATGACCTACACGAACCGGTTGTTAACAATCGTATGTATAGGCCTAATAATAACGTTACAACTTACAAGTATGCGTGTTTACAACGCAACTTTACTTGCAGGCTAGGCGGACTAGGTCTACTAGATCTCTGAGGAATCATTTGCCAGCAGGTAAGTGTTTTTTTATACGGATTCTTATGATCTTATCTAAATTATTATTATTAGATCTAACTTAGTTATATCATCTACTATAGGCCAAGCGTCCTAGGCCTACGTGTGAGTGCAAATCTGTGCTGAATTATTAGCCAGCGGGTGAACACATTTTCTACAGATTCTTATCTAAATAATTACGTTAATCTATTATTATTATACCTAAGGTTAGATCATCCATATACATAGCTCTAGGCCCCTAGATCTATATAATTAATATACAGATGTACAATCATTTATAACTTATATTTTCTATCATGATTGTTACTTAAATATACAGCAAAATATAAAAAAATAATTA